ATTTAAAGAAATATTATGAAAGCTATAAATGAGTGAAAAACTATTACGAATATTGCCAACTATAGAAACTCCAATGTGATTGTACAACTAATGCAAACAAACGTTTTTTAACAATTACTATCTAAAACTCGAGCGTACCGTGTGTTATTTTATTAGAATTAAAAATAATAAAATATAATGTCGATAATGTTAAATGAATTATTTGAATTAATTGGAATTAAAACTATAGCGTTTAATTGGTACAAATTTTTAGATTACGAAATAAATAAAATAAATACAAAAATTATACGTATTACCTACACTCCAAAGAAAAAATTAAATTAAAATTAAACAATAAATTACAGTAAAAAACGGTAGAATAAATAACAAAAGCATGGAAAAGATAGCAATAAAGTAAATATAAAAACATTAATATAGATAAAAAAAAGGTTAGATAAAACTAATTAAAAAAAACGATAAAATTATAAAATTATTAAAAAGAGAAAATATAATAAATAAAGTATAAGAGCTAAGAAAAACCTGCCAGCACGTTCGCTACCCTAAAACCGTATTTGTGTTTGTATGTATGTATACATGAATGCACGTATGTTCGTATGTATGTAAATAAATTTGAGAACCCTTTTTGAAAAACATGGAAGAAAATTATGTTATCTTGTGAAGCATTTTGAAAATTTTTGATATCAAATAATTTAAAAATATACGTTTTAGAGAATAATTATCGTTCGAAATATTCGATCTATGGCCAGGCTTGCCGTTTTTTTACTGTTGTAAAGCCAACAAAAAACCAACTATGTAGCTACAATTACTCCAAGACTACACTTTTTGTGCCACTCGTATGCATGTTACGTTATTACTCTGAAAAATTGAAATAAAATTTATAATTTCTTGCCAAATTACAACTATATTATAAACGTGATCTCAAGCTAAATTTGGGCTGCCACGGGCAGGTTTTTTCCCGATAAAATTCTAACTTCGTGTAACTATTAATCAGAGACCCAGTTCTCCCGAGGTAGGACGTTGTTTTCTTTGCCATCAATTTTTTGCGCCAAATTAGGCGATCAGTTGTATCCATTTCATTTAAATTTAAAGCTTTTATATCTTGCTCGATTGTTTGCGACCAGGACTTTTTTGGACGGCCTTTGGGATGTGTGCCAGGTACTTCAACACCTGCAAGAGATGTTATGGCACTGTTTCCACTTCATTTGACATGGCCAAACCACCGCAGACGATGTTGCCGGCATTCGTCCTTTTTATCATCTAAACCAGCACGACGCAGAATTTTGGAAGATTTGGTGTGGTCCTTCAGACTAATTCGTTGCATCCATCTGAGCATTTTCATGTCGGTTCGTTGAAGTTGTTGTTCCAGTTTGGTTGTCGTTGGCCATGTTTCTGCACCATATAACATCACCGGACGTATCACAGATTTATAAAGTCTTGATCGTAGTGGTAGTGGGATGTCACGCCGCATCAATATAGAGGCAAGGAAATGCCATTTATTCCAGGCTGCCACGTATGAGTGCTCGAACGGCAGCTTCAGCTGTTCCAGTACAATCCAGAACATCCCTTAAATATTGAAACGATGTGACTTTCTCTATTTAATGGCTTCAAAAACATTGCTGTTTCGAATTTGTTGTTGTGGATTGATGCAAGCAGGAGAAACAAAATTGGACACTTTAGATAAAGTACCAATTATTTTTGGACAACGTTTGTGACACCACTGGTTACACTGCTGACACTTGATTGAATTGTTATCTACACCAGCTTTACAAACTGAACAGGGCCATCGTCCAATAGCTGTGGATTGCATGGGTTCACCAGTGTTTATTGCTTTGGTTTTGCTGATGTTGACTTTGAATCCATGATCGGCGAGTCTGGTGTTCCAATCCTCAAACATCTGTGCTGCATTCTGCTCAGACGTGACTGTTAAAACGATATCATCAGCATATATTAGATTCCAAATGTCACCAGTGCGTATCGGTTTTGTGATTTCTTCCATCACAGTTATAAATATCAGTGGACTGAGAATCGAGCCTTGATGAACTCTAACGCCGATGTCAAATGCATCTGTTTTTCTTACCGTTGTGCTGACAAGATTCTTAGTATTCGTATACATTTCCATCACAAGTCGAACAAGATATTCTGGAATGAGTTGTTGACGTAGACTCCACCTGATTGCTTTTCGGGGAACACGATCAAATGCTTTTTCAAGGTCTACAAAAATGTGTGATAGTTGTTGACGCTTTGTGAGGTACTTCTCTTGCAGTTGCCGAAGGATGTGAATTTCATCAATTGTTGATTTCCCCGCTAGGAAACCAAACTGATAATTTCCGATTATGATGCACGATGTTAATCTTCTCTCAATGATTTGCTGGACAATTTTCAGGAAGTGTTCCAGCAGACGTATACCCCGATATGATGAACAGTTCAATGGATCACCTTTGCCTTTGTATAGCGGAACTGTCATGCTATAGTCGGCATTGAGCAATTTATCCACACTTTACGGCAAAGTTGTAGTAACGTTTGGATACTTGCAGTATCAGATGCTTTGATAATGTCATTTGTGAGTCCAGACTGCCCTGCAGCCTTTCCATCCTTCATAGCTTTCAGAGCTTCTGTAAGCTCCTATACAGTGATGTCTGGAATCGGACCTTCGATGGGCGGAGCGTCAAAGTTGACATTGATTTGTTTCATTTAACAGATGGTTGAAATTTTTTTTCCACTGTAGCTTGATCTCATCTCATTCAAGAACCATCTCATTTTTGTCGTTTTTGTTACACGAGGCACCAACTATGTCTTTTTTCGTCAAGTGTCCCGTTCATGTTGACGTTTTGTACCAGTTTTTCCACAAACCGTAGTTGCAGCGTTTATCAAAACGGTTTTTTATGTACTCCAAACTCCAATCTGTACTGGATTGCGGCGATTGGTGGTCTAACTGTGTGGCGACAATCTGTTGAAATTTTTCTCGATGAATATTGCTTTTCAGCTTCCACGTTTTGATTTTTCGAGGCATTTGTTTAGACAGTTTGACAACCAGGTCTGCCACAAGGAGTCTGTGTTGGGCGACACATGATTCGACAGGTATAACTTTGACATTTTTGAATAGCCTTCGGTGTTGTTGTTTTATAGTTTAATTTTTAGAGTAATTTATTAATAGATTATATATATATATATATATATATATATATAATATATATATATATATATATATATATATATATATATATTAGGAAGAAGACCAAGTTCTATACAGTTGTTCAAAAAATCATAGATTAATTAACAACGTCAACATTGTTGCTAATAATTTTAACGTCATCGATAATAATAATAATAATACTTTTAATAACAATGATGACGACGACAACAACAATACAAACAACGATAGCAACAACAACAGCAACAATAAAAAGAACAACAACTACAACAATAATAATAATAATGGTAATGATGATGATAATAATAACGATAATAATAATAATGATAATGATAACGATAATGATAATAACAATAATAATAATAATAATAATGATAATAATAATAAAAATAATAATTAATAATATTAATAATAATAGAAACGATATTCTAATTAATTTCGCGCTTCAAATTTGTGACATTGTTGGTTGCCATCTTGACAACGGCCACGTAGCATGAACAATCGTATAATTTCAAATATTTTGTTTACTAATTTCAATGAACCTTTGCGTTTTTATTTCGTTACTTTTATTTTATTTTAATATATTAAAAAATACAACTAATTAACTATTAATAGAATTTATTTAAAATATATATTGCACTGATGATGACTTTACGTCGAAATAGATCTATATGCATAACTTTAATAATAATATAAAAAATAAACGATTATAAAAATGGGATCTTGCTTGATTAATTTTAACAATTAAAATCATAAACGATTATAAAATGGATTTCAACATTTTGAATAGACTTAATTGTAAAGAACTAGTTCAAAATATTAGAAAATCAACCATAAAACTTGTTAATGCTGAATCGTCGGTGGATTTTTTGAACAACTGTATAGAACTTGGTCTTCTTCCTAATATATATATATATATATATATATATATATATATATATATATATATATATATATTATTTAAAATATATCGCCATTGCAAAATATTTTCAAATAATAACTAAAATTACGGTTTATAAACAAAAAACTTAATTTTATGCGCGAAACATTTTTGAAAATATTATTATTAATTATTATATACTATATATTCAACATATTGATAAAATTTACTTCAAATTATTTACATAGATATATATTAGAATTAAACAAAATAAATAATAACAGCAACAATAACAATAGTAATAATAATGATAATAACAATGACAATGATAATAATATAAACTTGGAAACATGAATATTGTAGTATGATTTTTGCTTTTTATTTTGTTGATTTACTTTATGGTCGTTTTTTCAGCAATTTTTAAAATTTTAATTTATTTTGTTTAATTCTAATATATATCTATGAAAATAATTTAAAGTTAATTTTATCAATATGTTAAATATATAGTATATAATAATTAATAATAATATTTTCAAAAATGTTTCGCGCTTAAAATTAAGTTATACTGTATGACGTCATTTGTCTATAAACGGTAATTTTCGTTATTATTTAAAAGTATTTTGCACTGACGATGATATATTTTATATCGAAAAAGCTTTTTGCAATTATATTAATAAACATGGACAATAATAATTTTAGTTTTTTACTTAATAAATTTAATAATTATAATAAAATTTTAATTAGAAAACTTGAAAAATTAATATATAGACATAATAATTATATTAACGCGGTTGATTTTCTTGAAAACTGTATCGAATATGGTCTAAATACTAATTTCACAATATATATATATATAATTATGCTCATAAAAGTTCAAATCTATAAATTTTACTGATTTGAAAAATTCTCAAAACTGTTTCAAAAATCTATCCGCATTTTAATGATATTTTTTCATAATTTTTAACTTAGAATCTTCTCTCAGACTGTCGAAATCGCGGAAACTGAACCATGTGCACATTTCTGATAATCTAGATGATAAAAAATTAGTCCAAGACATTATTACCGAAAAGTCAATTAATATTCAATATCATTCCAGGTAACGTATATTTCTATAATTCGAATTCTTTCACTGAATTTTTTAAAACAAAGGCTAATATCTTATGGTAGGTTTGTTGTTCCCATGGAATTATACCTGTCTCAAATTTCTGGTTATCATAAACTGACAAGAGAAGTTGAACATCTCAGAAAAATTCCTTATTCGAGCGAGAATTCTGAACATGAGGATCTTCTGATGAAAGTAGGTAACAAAAATAAATATTTGGCGTTTGAAAAACTTTGACTTAATTGCTTTTTGCAAAATTCATAACTGCCATGGTGGGTTGTGTTCATTCAAATTTATTGGTTTGCCATAAATTGTTTAGATGTTTTTTATTATTTTTGCTATAATACAGTTGGTACATGAGACATCTCATTGACAATATTTTGACTAGTTCTGAAAAATTTTAAATTACCTGGCTTAGTTCTGCACGTTGTCGAAATCATGAAATGACAATTTATTTATCTCAAGCATTAATTTGTACATGAAACGTCATGACCTCATTGTTAGAAAGTTATTAATTTAATCAATCAAATATAAAACTATTTTAACAATGAAAACATATTTCGATATTACGCATTCGTTTCCTTACGTCGCGTGCTGAAACTCATGCTATTTATGAGTAAAAATCCGGGATTTTGCGGATTCGAATTTTTCATTTTACTCCTTCAGGGAATATGACCCGGCCCATGGTGGTTTAAAAGTTATGTTTAAAGATGCAAACGGTTGGAAATATCAAAACTAGCATAGTTTAATTGTTTGTGCATTCAAGTATCAACAACAAATGCATCAATTATTTTGATGGTAGTATATCGACCTGATTCAAGAGTTGCTGATGAACTCATTTTTGATGAACTGGCGCATGTGGTCGAGGGACTGATTGTAAGCACATTTCGTCGTTTTTGCATAGGGTTACGAACATGAGCTATTCTATCAATGATTCGATGATGTGTTATCTTCTTTGGTTTCTTGGTAAACAACATTTCATATTGCGATTTTCCTTCTATAGACGTTGGTCCGGTTTATTTGAGAATGTAAGTATTAAATTAACTAATGAAACAGTTCCTTGAAAGCTAGTCACCTAATTTAACTAGCGTTTGATTTTCACGTTCACTGCATTCGTTTTGTTGAGGTGAATAAAGCATACTTAAACGTTGCCTAATCCCTGGTTTTACAACAACTGTTTCACTACTTTGTTGTAAAATGTAATTATATTGTCGCTTAATATTTCTGAAACTTTATGACTTATTAACTCTGTATACATTTGCCTAAGTTTCTCTGTTGTTTTTGTTATTTGTTTTATAAGATAAACATTGTCGAGAAAATCATTGAGAGAAGATTAACGTCGCGCATCACAATCGGAAATTATCAATTTGGTTTCCTAGCGGGGAAATCAACAATTGATGCAATTCACATCCTTCGGCAACCGCAAGAGAAGTACCTCACAAAGCATCAACAACTATCACACATTTTTGTAAACCTTGAAAAAGCATTTGATCGTGTTCCCCGTGAAGCAATCGGGTGGAGTCTACGGTGACAACTCATTCCAGAATATCTTGTTCGACTTGTGATGGAAATGTATACGAATACTAATGCATAACGGTTGGAAACACAGATGCATTTGACATCGGCGTTGCAGTTCACCAAGGCTCGATTCTCAGTCCACTGTTATTTATAACTGTGATGGAAGAAATCACAAAACCGATACGCACTGGTGACATTTGGAATCTAATATATGCTGATGATATCGTTTTAACAGTCACGTCTGAGCAGAATGCAGCACAGATGTTTGAAGATTGGATCACCAGACACGCCGATCATGGATTCAAAGTCAACATCAGCAAAACCAAAGCAATGAACACTGGTGAATCCATTCAATCCACAGCTACTGGACGATGGACCTGTTCAGTTTGTAAAGCTGTTGTAGGTAACAATTCAATCAAGTGTCAGCAGTGTTACCAGTGGTGTCACAAACGTTGATAAAAATAATTGTCCAATTTTGTTTGTCCTGCTTGCATCAATCCACAACAACAAATTTGAAATAGCAATGTTTTTGAAGCCAATAAGGTAGAGAAAGTCACATCGTTTCAATATCTAAGGAATGTTCTGGATTGTACTGGAACAGCTGAAGCTGCCGTTCAAGCACGCATACGAGAATTGAAGATTGTAACACCAGACTCGCCGATCATGGATTCAAAGTCAACATCAGCAAAACCAAAGCAATGGCCTGGAATAAATGGCCATTGCTTTGGCCATTGCTATATTGATGCGGCGTGACATCCCACTACCACTACGATCAAGACTTTATAAATCTGCGATACGTCCGGTGATGTTATATGGTGCAGAAACATGGCCAACGACAACCAAGTTGGAACAACAACTTTAACGAACCGACATGAAAATGCTCCGATGGATGCAACGAATTAGTCTGAAGGACCACATCAAATCTACCGAAATCCTGCGTCGTGCTGATTTAGATGATATAAAGGACGAATGCCGGCAACACCGTCTGCGGGGGTTTGGCCATGTCAAACGAAGTGGAAACAATGCCATAACTTTTCTTGCAGATGTTGAAGTACCTGGCACACATCCCAAAGGCCGTTCAAAGAAGTCCTGGTCGCAAAAAATCGAGCAAGACATGAAAGCTCTAAATTTAAATGAAATGGATACAACTGATTGTCTAATTTGGCGCAAAAAATTGATGGCAAAGAAAACAACGTCCTACCTCAGGGAACTAGGTCTCTGGACGCTAAACGCAAACCTGTGAAATTATCTTTAAACAAAACAAAGTATTGATAAGTTTGGTATAAATTTTATGTATCAACAATAAATCACTGTTCTCATCTTTTTCCAACTCAATTTAAAAATTTTTCCAAAGATTCTTAAGTTCGGTAACATTTTCATCCATCTTATAACTGAAAATCTTCATGCATAAATAGTATGCTCTATCTTCATTAACATCAACGTACAGAGGATAAAGTTCCAGCCAAACATCTCTGGCATTAGTTAATGAACACACTTCCGTCTGTCATATTGGTCGGAACTATTATAGCAATACAATCTTCTTTATCAAATTTAGTTAAGGCAGTTTGATACTTAGGTAACTGATCTTAATTGCTTCCTTACCCAATTCATCTGGACCTTTTAGTTTACCATTTACTACATCTATTACACCAGGAATGCCGCGTAGTTTTATGTAAACCTTAAAAAGGTTAAAGTGTTGCAATTTAATTTTAATTTGGTCTTTGCAAAATTGCAACAATTGGAAGCTAAAATAAATAGTTTGCCACCATACTAGCAAAGCTAGGCACATGTAATGCAAACATTGCTCAAATGTCTGGCAGTTCCATTGAACGCATCAATAAAGAAATTGTATCTGATTTGAACGTAATGCATTTGAATAAAAATACTCAACAACAATAAAAACCAGCCAAAGTATTTCAAGTTGACCCAATTAACACCAATTTTAGCATTAAAGAACTGTGGTCAGGTGTAGGAAGATCATTACCAAGTACACCTCAGGCAGTACCACCAATGAATGTTGAAATGAAAGGATCTGGTACTGATACTGAGACACCATTTACAACTGTTGATTGTAGCAAAAAAACAACAAAATAATAAATATAATTTTAAATTTAAAATAGATACAATCATTGTGCGTGGTGTAAAAAAAATTGAAAATTCTAAATTAAAAGGTTTCAAGCCAATTGTCAAATCAGTTTTTTTTTTCAAAATTTTGGTCAAATGCTAAAAATGACATAATTGAAGTTATCAGCAAATAGCATCCATGTTTTTTCTTGCTTTCCTGTATATTTTAGACAAAAAACAGAAGAGCATATTCAAGAAAAAGATGAAAATCCTGATCAATCAACTCCTTTTCGGGTTTGTAATAGCAAAGAGGACATTGATAATGGCCTTTTCAAGTAGTGGTGAGGGATTGTGTTTCTAAAAGAATGAATAATCAAAAAGCAGTCATTACATAATAAACAATGATGGAGGTGAGAGATAAATATTTAAATCAGAATGAGTCAAAGTATTATACAATAAAAGAATTTAAACAAAATTTTCCTACCAAAAGCCCATCTAATGATGTGCATTCTATTAATAAAAGCCTTGAAAATGTTTCAACATGGTTTATTAATAACAAATTAATAGTGAACTATTCAAAATGTAATTGCATTATATTTGGTCCAAAAATTTTAACCGATGCAATACCAGATCTAGACATAAAGATGAACAATATTAATATTCCTCGTTCAACTAGTACAACATTTTTTGGAGTGATCATAAAAGACATCCTCTCTTGGGATCGGCACATAGATACTTATTCTAGAAAAATCAACAAAACTGTAGATAAAATAAAAATAAAATTGAACAGACCAACAATGATTAATTTGTATTATCCTTTGATATTTTCACATCTCATATATTGTAATATCATCTGGGGGAATAACCCTGATACTCATCTAAAGAGATTATTTCTGAGTCAGAATTGTTTTATTAGAATTTTACTAAATCTGCATCTACGTTCTCATATATCAAGCAATTATCCGGAATTAAAAATTTTAAATATGAAGAATTTTCATATCTATCATGTAATGATTTTTGTTTTGAAGTTTCTACACCAGCAACTGCCGGCATCCTTCAATGGTTTTTCACTTTTGGAAACACTGTACGACAGAGGTGTACTCGCTATTGGCCATTACTTTACACGTCATCACCAAGGATAACATTACTTGTCAAGAATTTGAAACAAACAGCCTCTGTAATATGGGAAAGAATTCCGTTTGAAATACGAAACATTGATACCTAGCACCTTTTTAAAAACAAACGAAAGAAACACCTAGTTAATAAAGGTTTCGTGTTTATTTGATAGGACATTTAAATGATTTCTCTTTTTTTGAAGTTATTATCTTGTTCTTTAATTTATTCGCGATTGCCAATTGAATCTGTTATCAGTATGTATAAATTATCTATACAATTATGACAGACGGTAGCCTAGTACACAAGAATTTGTTTTCTTTTTAGGTTTAGAATCATTTCCTTTTTTGGTTGGTTGAAATAAATTGAATTGATATCGCCGCTTTTGTTTAATCTATGTTTTAACCCTCTAATGAAAATTTTTTTAAATGAGAAATTTAAACAGTGCGGTTATCTTTGGGGTCCAACCTCTGATGTGAAAGCTAGAGTATGGCTTCAATTCGCCGACGATACGGCAATCATTGCACATAGTTCGGAGAATGCGCAGAAATTGATCGATATGAATCTTGCCTGGCGCAAATGGTCAGGCATGCAGATGAGGACAGATAAGTGCTGTGTATTTAGAATGAGAAAAGAAGATGACTCATACGATCAGTTCCTACCAAGGTTGACAATAGACAACATACCCATTCCAACAGTAGCAATGGATCAGGAATTCAAATAACTGGGGAAAGTCTATGATTCAGAACTAAAAGTCACAAAAGCCAAAGAGGAGATAATTTTCAAATTAACTCGTCTCTTGAGATCTACGACCGAACTGGATGTTTCTACGCAAATGAAACTACAAATTTTGAAAAGATTCCTTCACAACTGAAGTTCGAGCTGCGAAGCTACAGTTTTTCTCTGACGTGGATCGTGGATCGCCAACAATTTGGATAACCTTGTTGTAGAAGCAGCAAGAAATTGGTTGGCAGAGATGCTGAATCTACCATTAAAGAGTGGTGGTCAAAACATTGTTCCACTAAGGGACACAGCGTTGAAAATTATATTGAAGCTGCGCGATTACTTTAAGACAAGTTCAAATGCTGAGATTTGTGATCTATGGCGTGAAACATCGGTGGACTACAGGATGATCGACAATTTGCTTTCGGTCTCAAACTCAACTTCTCAGACACTAAAAAAGTTAGAAGAGGACCGAATAGCGGACGGCTTAAACCATGTCATCTTGCTTCAAAGTCAGGACTCCTTGATCAAGTCGTTAACAGAGGTAATAATACTTCCTTCGCGAATAAACACTGGTCAAAGAAATTAGATTCAATACCAGACACCCTATACAAATTTGCGAGAAAATATTTGATTTAGCAACTGCCGACAAACGCAAATCTGTTCAGATTGGGGAAGACCGATGACCGCTGTGTCCTCTCTGTGGCGCTAAACAGACAAACAAGCATGTGGTGTCCAACTGTGGATCCACAGTTGCTTTGAAACGTTATACTGAACGCCATGACAGGATATTGTCAGAGATCGTTAATTGTTTGCTATCGTGCCGCACGACGGATTGTCTGATACTCGCAGATATCGAAAAGGGGTGAGTCCTGCCAATGTCGCAAATGTTTGTCAATCTTCGTCCAGACATCGTCATTCTACAAAACAGAAGAATTGAGATCGAGTCACGAGACAAACCATCGAAGTACAGAAACAATTTAAATTTAAGTTTAATCCCCGATTTCATAAACTGTTCTATTAGTTTAAATACGTTTGAAATTACTCCAATTGGCTTCTTTAATACTTTCAATTTACAATTAATTAAAGTTTTATGGCCTATTTCTTTTATTAACAAATTTATTGATTCCGCAATTAAATCGACATACGCCATCTATTGCGACAGAAACATTTTATAACCGTTTAAATATGTCACCTAAGTACACTTATCATAGATAATGAGTAATACGGTTTTATTGTGCATTTAATTTGACAATGACCATATTTTATTCTATTTTATATTTTATGCCAATGATTTCCTGTAATAAAAGAATTTTAATTGATATTATTATTGTTGTTGTTGTTATGGTTATTATTATTATCATTATTATTGTTATCATTATTATTCAAATTATGTATGTGTTGCAAGAGAGTTGGCCAATTTTGTACTACAACTCACTGTTTTTTATTCATAATACTTGTTTTATTCGACTAATTGGTTTTAAAATTGGTTGTTTGGATAGGAATAATTTTGGGGATTATGGCGACATTTTTTAAATTTAGTTTTTATACTAATTTTTATTTAATTTTAATTTTCTTAATTAAAGGAATATATAGCGCAAATTCAAATGAATGTCCGCACTGCAATAAAATATTGATTAACGTTGGTAGACACTCCTGGCGCTGTACTAAGAATGCTGGATATTTTAACGTTTATGCTGTTCGCTCAGTTGAAGAGTCTAACGTTATAGGTTAAAGGTTACTCTCTCTGTTTTGCGTTTGCTTTAGAGGTTTCAACGACAAACACACACAGCGTATATGAATACGAGTGCAAACCACGCATCATACAAATTGCATATGATAGGCGGGGATCTCTTTGTATTCGAACCCAGTCATTGCAATAGCAAGACCAGGCGCCTTTAACTATTGAGCCATCACGCCGCCCAAACATTTCCATTAATATTTTGCCAAACATTTACAGTTCGAATTCTATTGGCAATCACTCCAGTAATATTGAAAATAATAATTTAATATCACGTTTCTTTGGAAAAAAGTGAAAGGGTCGTTCAGTTACCTCAGGACTCATCGGACAACAACGCGACATGTATCACAGTCAACATCACCAGATGAAATAATTTCTACTCCAAACCACCGATCATAGTCGTCGTCGGCAGTTGAAGCAACGGAATCGGCTATCCCCGGCGTCAAATTGTCAAGAACGCCAGCCCAATGGTTTGAAGCCAATGTCTTCTACCAGCTACAATACAAAGTCTTAACAACATAGACGAATTCACAATTGCATTTAAAAGGATGATATATACAATTATTTTGCTCAAAATACAATTATTTTGCTCAAAATTACAGCTCTATAAAACAGCACACTGACCAAAACAAAATTACTAACAAAAACATCAAGGATCTAAAAAAAGAAATTAAATATCTGAAAGAACTCGGCAACATTTTAACCACCACTTCTACAATCAAATCATTAACACAAGCAAAACTCTATGTTCAAAATTATTGTCGATGAAGATGTATCCTCCAAAATCCCTTTGTGCTGGAAAAAGGAGTTCACAATATTAGTTTACAAAAAGGGAGATGCTCGAGATCCGGCTAACTTCAGACCCATAACCCTGCAACCAACACTCTACAAAATATTTTCTTCACTCATCAACAATAGACTATACAACTTTCTCGAATCAAACAACATCATCAACAAAAACATACAAAAAGGACTTAACCCAAAAGTAGATGGCCTGACTGAACACACACAGCTCTTAACTCACATGATCAACAATGCAAAAAGGCACCAGAGAACAATAATCATCACACTCCTGGATTTGCGAAATGTCTTTGGTGAAGTCAGTCATGGCCTAATCTCATCAATTATGGATCACCATCATATCCCGCTTCAAATAAATAATTTAATAAAGTTTATATATGCCAACTACACAATTACAGTTTCCGGTTGCAGGCCTACTTAAAACAAGAGCATGGTTGCAATTTGCTGACGACACAGCAATCATCGCCAACAACACTGAAAGTGCACAAAAGCTTATCGATGTCGGCATGAAACTAGGAATCGATAAATGCTCAACATTCAGAATGAGAAAAGAACATGGTGCGTATGAGCAATTTCTTCCGTTGCTGACGATCAATGACAAGCCGATTCCTAAGGTTGACACACTGTCTCGCTTATTCAAATCATTGCGATCAGATATCGTATTGCTACGAGACGAAACAATTGAAATACCGGAATTAACAGTCCTGTCACAAGACTAACTTTCTAAATTCTAAAGAATATAAACTATTTAAATACTCAGGTAACTTGCAAAATAACTTGATTGACGACTTTAAACATTTAAAAATAAAAATAAATACATTCGAAATCTCAACTCTAGGTTTTTTTAATATTTAATTTATCTATTGTAAACATTATTTGGTCTGATAATTTCTGCAATAGTCTCATTAAATCTGCAATATCCATCATTAATGCACCACCTTTGGATCAAAACGTTATGAAAAAATTGCGACTTAGATTTCCATCCTGACGAACGTGTTAGGCTACGTCACTAATTATTTATCAGTATTTTAAAAGCATAGAATATAGAATAAGGAATATTGAATGATTAAAAAATAGTTATGCAGAAATTTGTATTTCAGTATTTTTCAAAACATAAATTTAGAAAACTGAAACTAAAAAAATATGCCAAAAACGAATTACCTGAACCGATTTAAACAAATTTTAGAATGTTTTGTTTTTCGTAAGGTGTTTATATATTGTAAGACGAAAATTTTTGGTAATCGTATGACGAAGTCAGAGGTCAGAGTCGTGGCTCCTAATATTTTTTCTATTATTTCATTCCTGTTAATTTTTTCTGGTTTTCTGAAATTTTTTTAACTATTCGGTTTTTTTCTGGAAATAAAACTATTAATTTTAGTTTTTCTCTTTCTTTTTTCTCATCCTTCATTCACAATCTAGCTTTATTTTTTCATTTTTTCTACCTTCATTCGAAACCTGGTTTCATTTCTTTCGTTCTTAAATAATTTGTTATCTATCCTAACTTTTAAAATTTAGAATCTCATATAGTTTATAAATTCTAAAATAAATTATTTTTTATTCATAGTATCACTTGTTAAACACTAAAATGTTGTGACAAAAATATTCATGAAAACAATGGTTGAGATCAGTTTTCATGAGCAATAGAATTATAAATTGTTCAGCCTTGACTAGTTTACAATAAATATCAATATTTTTTCATTCAAATGGCTAGTTGTGGAACAAATTAAATCCTGGCGTAAAGCTGCCCAGTAGAAAAACCGTACTTTGGGAAGATATAGGATTCCAAGGAAAAGATCCTGCTACAGATTTTAGAGGAATGGGAATGCTTGGCCTGAACTGTTTAGTGTTGGTTTTTTTATGTGCAAGTTAACTGGGATATAACTTATTCTACTGTTTTTTGATAAATTTAGTGTCATTTATCTCCTACTATTGATTTACATGTATCGGCATAACGGTTTTTTATTTTCAATTTAATTTATATAATAATTAATTTAGTTTTGAAAAATGTGTTTTTGTTTAAACAGATATTTATCGTTATGTCACACAGAAACAGCGCGATATCTACTGTCTCATTCTCATCATCCTAAATACGGGTGCGTGGATTGATTAAGCATGGTTGTTATTAACCTATCGATGATATGATGATATCGCGGGCAATTATGGTATCGCTGTAAGATCGCAGATCGTTGATACTTTTTGTTTTAAGTATCAATGCATTTAACTACTGCCGGTAACTGATACCGATAGTTAATTATTTTAAAAAACAGAATCGGTTGATCGTTTTCAAAAAAAATTTGGGAAAAATTTGTATGGTTTTCCATCCTTGTACAACTATCTGCACATCAAAAATTGTGCTTAACTTTCAAGACTGGATTGCCTGGTGCCTACTAGGGCGTTTGTCGAGAAATTGTTTCAAAATGTTATAAAAGTTTAAAATATTTATATGTCATAAATATTACGTTGTGTTTGTTTAAAAAAGTGTCTTTCGTATTTTAATAAAATCAATCAAAAATGTTTCAAAACAGTTCTAAACTGTTCGAAAACGTTTTTTTCAGCTAATATTATCGGTAATTCTTCGATCGCACTTTTAAAAAATATTGTTAAAAACTGATTCATATTGTTACTAAATGAACGTATTTTGATGAATAAATTTTTTCAAAATTATAACAACTGCAGATATTTCTTCGCTATAGTTGGCATTAACATTACAAGCGTTGCATATCAGTTTTTGATGAGAGGAAAATTAAGATCTCATTTTTATGCTGCAGTCAAAAAGAAACCTTTGATGTCAGATTTTTACAGAATTTTCAGTTAGGTTTTCATTTTGTGAATATTATGCTTGTTAAGTTCGATAACTACAGTGGATCTCCTTATAACGAACTTCTGTACAACGAATTTTTTTATGTCCCTTGGAATTTCAACACTTTAAATTCTATACAACAACAAAAATTTCTCTATAACGAAAAAACAAAATTCATAAAAGTTGAAATAAATATCCGACCAGCAAACATTCTATGAATTGGTAGCCTATAAGCGGTGTTTTTGTATTCCTTTAATTTCCTAGAACCATATTTATTGTTTCTTGTTCTAGTATTCTAGTAATTTTTGCGAATTCTACTCTAATTAATTTCAGTGGAATCGGAATCATCGTTGCATAGAGCAAAAGATAAATTTCACTTTTAAAACTTTAATTTGTACAATTAATACTATGTATTATTACTTTCCGTTTTCAAAATAAAGGATTAGAAGGTTGTTTTTCATAAATATAGAGCATATAAACACTTTTTAGGCAATATAGAGTTTTTTCCAAAACAAAATTTCTATATAACGAATTTTTTCCTGAGACCATCAAATTCGTTACACGGAGGTCCGGCCGTATTTAGATGTGAATTGAATAAATAAAATAATTAACATTTCTAACATCGCAGTCCACTTTTATTATGAGTTTGACAAATATTGGATGTCTAAGCAGCCTGACTCCATAATGGAATTTGAAAGAATACGGACAGAATTTGAACAGATAATGTTAAATTTATTAGAGAGTAATAACGTTCCGTTGCAATTTACATTCATATAACACATTTTTGAAAAAATAAAGCATCTTGTACGATTTTTTTTATAAAATTATAAAATATTAATTTAATTTGTAAAATGTTTGTAAAGGCTGATTAAAAAACAGATATTTGTATAAATTGTTTTGTTGGTAACTATTAATGGCTCCTTTGTCAAAATGGATTAAAGTTAATCCGAGAAAAAATTTGTTCGGAGTTTGCTTCCTTAAAAATAGTTGATTTATACATCATGAATAAAAAACATGTCAATAATTGACCTAACAAAAAATTCATTTAATATCACATTTTGTTGACACTTCTTTTCTGCAAAGTTAAAATTTAGCTCTCTGGATAAATTTAATTCAAGGGCTAGAGTTTGATCAATGAACGTTCATCTTCGCGGCTTGCAATAGTTTCAGACAAAAAAGTTCAAGTGTCACACGAGCATTTAGAAAGGTTAATTGCAAGATAAAATTTATCGTGGCTTTAAGCATTAAAAATTTTTTGATTAAATGATGTGTCAATTCGTTTGTCTGTCAGGCTAGTATTGTCCTGGTATGTAAGATATGCTGCAACAAATGAGTCTCCAAAGCATTTTCAATATTTGAGTCCACAAATTTTTGTGAACTAATATTTTCTTGCTTCAATGAAAACAAGTCAAAGGATAGTCTAATGTTTTCATTATATATTTAATATATATATATATTTATTTTTACAATATTCTATAAATTCTACCGAATGTTTGGCGTTAATATGTTGTAGTTCGTTTTTTCGATTTTTCTCACTAAAGTTTTTTGGTGAACGTTTAGTTTATTAAAATTCAAAATAAACTTATTTTTCGAATTCATGCTGCAAATAAGGCCATATTTAGATGAACTTTGACGTCAAAGTTCAACTTGACAAAGTCAATATTTCCCTATATATACAGCAAGGAGCACTGATGATGATTCATTCGAAATCGAAATATGGCCTTATCTTGACAAAGTCAATATTTCCCTATATATACAGCAAGGAGCACTGATGATGATTCATTCGGAATCGAAATATGGCCTTATTTGCAGCATAGCACTGATGATGATTCATTCGGAATCGAAATATGGCCT